AGCTATTCTTTAAAATTTTCTGTTTTTGTAAAATATACATTACATAAATTTATCACTGTAACTATTTTAAGTATACAGTTTAGTAGCATTAAGTTCATCACCACAAAACCAGTATTATATGAAATGTTGAAGGGTCTTCTTGAGGAAGAAGAAGAAGGTAAAAAATATGAACAATAAAATGGCAATAAATACATATCTACCATCAATGGAATCTATAAATCAAATGAACAAGCAGAACAGAAACAGATTCATAGATACAGAGAACTTTCTGATGGTTGCCAGATGGGAGGGAGATTGGGGGGATGGATGAAAAAGGGGAAGGTATTAAGAAATACAAATTCATTGTTCAACTGATAAACCTCATAGTGTGGGGGGTGCTGGAAGAGATAAACCAAAGAAATTATATGCATAAGCAATGGAACACACAGTAGTATGGGGAAGGCAGGAGGGGAGTGGGAGCAGGGAGGAGGGGATCAATGGGGGATAAAGGGGGGGACATTTGTAATACTTTCAACAATAAAGATAATAATAAAAAGGAAGGCAGTGCTGACACATGCTACAATATGGATGAATCTTGAGGACATTGTGCCAGGTGAACTAAGCCAGTCACAAATGACAAATACTGTATATTCTAGTTATATGAAGTTCCTAAAGTAGTCAGACTCGTAGAGACAGAAAGTACAACAGTGGTTGCCAGGGGCTAGGGGCAGGCTGGGATGGGGAATTCGCGTTTAATGGGCGAAGAGTTTCGGATTTGGGAAGATGAGGAAGTGTGGGAATGGATGGTGGTGATGGTTGTAGAAGAATGTGAATGCTGTCTGTTTTGGTTGACTCACTCCTAGTGTTTTGTTGCTGTGTAGTTACTGAATTTTTTGCTGTGTATTACTTGTTTTATAGTTTTATCTTTGGGGAGTCTTTGAGGTTTATGGTAAAGGTAGGTTTTTCTCAAAGTTACTTAGATTTTTTTTCCTGGTCTCTTTTTTTAAATTAAAAATATATAGCTTTACAGTATTTAAATATATAGCTTTATAGAAACATTGTTTTTTTTCCCCCCAGGTCTCATGTTTACTGTCATGTGGTGATCTCTCTAATCTGGATTATCATCTTCTACCACCTGGGTAGTATAAATTTTAGATGAAAATATATAGGAAGGCAGGCTCGTGGTGACAAATTCTTTGGGTGATTTGCCCTGGCCGGTTTGGCTCAGCGGTTAGAGCGTCAGCCTGTGGTCCGGAGAGACCCGGGTTCGGTTCCTGCTAAGGGCACGTACCTCGGTTGCAGTTTGTCCCCGGCCCTGGTCGGTCGTGCGGGTGGCAGCCACTCGATGTGTCCCTTTCACATCGATGTTTCTCTCTCTCTCTCTCTTCCTCTCTCTCCCTCCCACTCTATCTGTACAAAAAATGGAAAAATGTCCTCAGGTGAGGATGAAAAAAAAAAAAAAATTCTTTGGGTGATTTGTGTAGTCGCGTGAGTTTTTTATTTTTCTACCATAGTATGAATGTAATACAAATGTAGTGAAGAAAGGTAAGGAACAAGGGCTGCTCAGTTGAGCCTCTTTCCTTGTGGGCCAAAACATATAATAAGTATGTGCTCCATAACGGAAGGTCTTTTGGTGAAACAGCAAAAAGTCCTGGATATGGTGGTGGTGGAAGAGAGTATGAGATATTCGCTTTAAGCTCTGATGCCTTGATAATCTTCATAAAAATACCAAGAAATCTTAAAAAAAAAAAAAAGTACTCTTAGAACTATTAAATGAGTTTAAAACATTACAGAATACAAGATCAACATACAAATATCACAAGGAACAGTTGGAAACTGAAATTTTAAAAATAGCACCATTTACAGTATCTTGCCCACAAATAAAATAATTAGGTATTAAATATATGCAGGACCAGTCCTAGCCAGTGTGCTCAGTGGTTAGAGCATCAGCCTGCACATAAAAGGGTTTGATTCCCAGTTAAGGGCACTTATGTAGAGTTGCAGGTTTGCTCCCTGGCCCTGGTCAGGGCATGTACAGGAGACAACCAATCGATGTGTCTCTGTCATAGATGTTTCTTTCGATTTCTCCCTCTCTCTGTCTTCCCCCATCCCCTCTCCCTTCCACTCTCTCTAAAAATCAATGGAAAAAATATCCTTGGGTGAGGATTAACAAAATAAACGAATAGATAAATAAATAAGTGCAGGGTCTGTGGCTAAAAACTATAAAATGTTGATGAAAGAAATAAAATAAAACCTAAATAAATAGTTAGACCAACCATGTTCATGGAGTGGAAGATTCAACATAGTGAAGATGTTAATTATTCTGGAATTTTTAATCCCTATCAAACTCCCAGCAACATTTTTTGTAGATATAAACAAGGAAATTCTAAAATTTATGTGGAAAGTTAAAGGAGGTAGGATATTTAAAACAATTTTTTACAAGAAGAAAAAAGTTGGAGGACTTCCTCTGCACACTTTAGTTAGAGTAAGCCAGTGTAGTACTGGCAAAAGGACTGATCCATAGATAAATGCGACAGAATAGAGACTCCAGATCTGGACCCTTATAAGTATGGCCAGTGGCTTTTGACAGAGGTACAACAGTGACCTCCGTTATGGGAATGAGTTCTTTGATGTGGGGCTTGCACTCTGGGGAAAAGCCACAAGAACAGGAAACTAACCCAGTGTTTCCATCTTCCATTTGACAGCTCCCCGCCTGTTTTTCCTGCTTCTGGTAACCCTCATTACCTTGAGATAGTTTGTTTTTTTTTGTTTTGTTTTTTTACACCTAGAGTTTTTATATCTGGCTGATGGGAATGCTGAATATTTCTATCCCTGTGCAAGCTCTGGCAATTATTCAGCCCTCTGCTTTCCAGTTGCCAAGAGCCAGCCAAGGGCCATCACAAAACAAGCCTCTTCCCTGCACATAGTCCTACACAAAGTATTCCTGAAAAGTGAAGAGAAGAGGTTATTTTTCAGCAGAATGTTTGCAAATCAAATCCAACAGTGTAAAAAAATTGATAATATATCATGAACAAAATGTTTCTAAAATGCAAGCTTGGTTTAACATTCAAAAGTAGTCAGTGTAATTCACCATATTAACCAAAAGCAAAAAATTGTGTGATTATCTCAACAGATGAAAAACATATTACAAAACCCAACATCCCTTCATTATAAATGTCTCTGACAGCCCTGGCCGGTTTGGCTCAGCAGTTAGAGCGTCAGCCTGCAGTCCAGAGAGACCTGGGTTTGGTTCCCGCTAAGGGCGCGTGCCTCGGTTGCAGTTTGTCCCCGGCCCTGGTTGGTCATGCGGGTGGCAGCCACTGGATGTGTCCCTTTCACATCGATGTTTCTCTCTCTCTCTTCCTCTCTCTCTCTCCCACTCTATCTGAACAAAAAATGGAAAAATGTCCTCGGGTGAGGATTAAAAAATAAATTAATTAAAAAATAAAATAAATGTCTCTGACAACTAGAAATAGAATTTCTCAGAGAACATTTATGAAAAATTTGCACTTATCTTTTTTTGTTTTGTTTTGTTACTCCTCACCTGAGGATATTTTCCACTGAATTTTAGACAGAATGGAAGGGAGGGAGGGAGGGAGGGAGGGAGAGACAGAGACAGAGACAGAGACAGAGACAGAGAGACATTGCTGTGAAAGGGACCCATTGATGGTTGCCTCCTACATGCACCCAGATTGGGGCCAGGGATCAAACCTGTAACCCAGGTATATGCCCTTGACTGGCAGTTGAACCCAAGATCCTTGGGTCTGTGGGCCAGTGCTCTAACTGCTGAGCCACACTGGCCAGGGCTACACTTACTCTTAAATGGGGAGACTGTATACTTTTCCACGTAAGATGAGAAACAAGGCTAGGAGTTGAAAGTAGAATTTGAAATCATCATTTAAAGTTTATGATTCTTTACTTTTTAAAATTAATTAATTAATTAATTTATTTATTTATTTTTGTGGTGCGTGCCCCTAGCAGAACCAAACCCGGGACTCTCTGGTCCGCAGGCCAACGTTCAACTGCTGAGCCAAACTGGCCAGGGCAGATTCTTTAGTTTTATGTACAAATAGAATTTCTACTAATTCGGTGCAACAAATACTCATTTTTTTTGTGGGACACTTTTATTATCCCTATGGCTTTTACTATTGTTTTGTTATTTATTTAATTTAATTTCATAGGAGTTACATGTAACACAAGAAGAAAGAATAAGAAATGGTATATTAGCTCTAGCCGGTTTGGCTCAGCTGTTAGAGCATCAGCCTGCAGTCCAGAGAGACTTGGGTTCAGTTCCCGCTAAGGGCATGTACCTGGGTTGCAGTTTGTCCCCAGCCCTGGTTGGGTCATGCGGATGGCAGCCAATCGATGTGTACCTTTCACGTCGATGTTTCTCTCTCTCCCTTCTGCTCTATCTGAACAAAAAAATGTCCTTGGGTGAGGATTAAAAAAAAAATTATTAAAAAAAAATGGAATGATATATTAGAAGCTTTTGAGTAATTTTGGTTTTTCTCTATGAAACTCTTTGAAAGATAGTACTGTCTTTTTGGTTTAAGGTTCTTCTGAGCATTTATTACCAAAATTATAAAATGGACATCACGCCTTGGCCAGTTTGGCTCAGCAGTTAGAGCATCAGCCTGTGGACCAGGGAGACCCGGGTTCGGTGTCCGCTAAGGGAACATTCCTTGGTTGCAGTTTGTCCCTGCCCACTTTGGAGTTGTGTGGGTGGCAACCACTCAATGTGTCTCTCATGTCAATGTGTCTCTCTTTCTTTCCCCCTTTTTCCCTTCCCACTCTATCTGAAGATAAATGCAAAAATGTCCTAGAGTGAGGATTAAAAAATAAAAATAATAAAATGACCATCATGTAATTTTTACCAAGGTCATTTACTTTGATTCAAGAGGAAAGGTAGTGCAAGATTAAAATAGTGATAGGCTGATGGAGTGTTTTAAGTAAAAGTGGACCATGAATAACATTTATTGTACTTGGTTTCAGAATGCTTAAAACCTTTTTTTTCTTTGTAGGTATTGGTCCCCTGAAGAGGCAGGGACTCCAGACAAGGCTCAGGTAGTTTTTTTAGATAACTTAAATAAGTTTTGGATGTGTTCAGTTTGACTTGATTTGTAGGTCTTTCAGAATATGTCCATTTACCAAAGATGTGGATTTGTGAAAAGTCAAGAGTTGTATATGTTATTGGTAGAGGTGAAAGTAAGAATAATGTTAATTGATAATCTCTCTCTCACTTAGGATGTAGATATATATTTTGCAAACAGCTTCTGAGTGCCAGCTATTTACTAGGTACTGTCTTGTGGACTGTATGGGGGAAACAGACAGGATACTGTATTGTAGTGTGATGAAGATGTATTCAGGGTACGATTTCAGAGAGCAGAGCAGAGGCTAATAGGGATCAAGAGAAACTTCCCAGAAGAATTGACTCTTGATCTAAATCTTAAAGCGCAAAGAAATTAATAAAGTAGAGGAGGCAAAAGAGGGATTGCCAGACAAAAGGAAAAGCATGTGAAAAGGCATCAAGTTATAAAAAGAGCATAGCATTGTCCAGAGAACACTATTGGCAGATACTTTCAATAGAGCACCTCTCACATAGTTTTGCAGTTCTTTGTGCTAATAGCAATAAATTTATTACAAGATTGTGACTTATTCTTCTTTGTGACATCAGTGTCATGCACAGCACTTAACAAATAACAAGTACTGTAAATGTCTCGAAAGAATAACGGTATGATAATGGTACTTTATTTTTTATCTTTATTTTTTGGTATAAACTGTTTTGGGAGTTTTTAGGAGCAAAGAAAACTTTGTATAAAGCAGTCATTGAGTTGAAATTTGAAAGATGAATAGAAAGTTACCATACCAAAAAGTAAGGGATAAAGAAAGGAACATTCTGGACAGAAGGACATATCTCAACAGAGAGAGATACAGAGAGCATAGACCTGCACTGTTTAATATGGTAGCCAGTAGCTATGTGTGAGTTTACATTGAAATTAATTAGTGTTGAATAAAATAAAAAATACAGTACCTTGGTCACACTTGCCACATTTTAAGTTCTCTGTTGCCCATGTATAGAATGGATATAGAACATCACATCATCACAGAAAGTTCTGTTGCATCACATTGTCATAATATGTTTGGGGAACTTCAGGAGTTTGATTTACTGAAAGTATACATTACAGTGGTGAGGTGGAAGTTGCAAAGGCAAGGTGGAAGGAAATGATGCTGGAAGGTTAAGGTCAGCCCAAATCATTGTGTTTTGAATGGCAAAGGTGTTTGGATTTACATGTGGAAAATCAGCTGGGGTGGGGGTGCAGGTGTTTGATTTTGGTTATTGAAGATAGGGGCCAGTAAATTAATCTGATGGGTGTTTTAAAATAATTTTTTGGCAGCAATATGAAGAATAGATTGAAAAGGTGAAATTAGTGTTCAGACGCTTACTGTATAAATCAGTAGTCCGGGTGAGAGAGATGCTAAAGACTGAGCTAAAACAGAGGTAATGAGGATAGAAAAGACAAGACAGACTTGACAACTATTTAGAATACAATAGGTATGAGGATTTCTTGTGGGAGTTAACATAATCTAATGTCCCTAATTTCTGGATTGGCCATATAGGTAGATGGGATAGACATATATGGGGAAAAGAAGGTTTTAAAAGAGGAAAAGGTTATGACTTTAATTTTGGCCACATTAACTTTGGAGATAAGCTTGATTCCTTTAAGAATCTGGAGTTGAGAATAAAATTCAGGACCAAATATGTGCTTCTTGGTGTCATTAGAATATAATTGGCTTTCAAAGCTTAGAGTTTGGGTAAGATTGTCCAGGAAGAACAGGATAGCATGAAGACAGGTATAGAAAGACAGGGCCTTAGAATGAGAAGGAATAGCTAGAGACAAAGCAATAGTATTGAGTTGTGCCAAAAATTGCTGAGGGGAGTCAACAGAGTTACTGATCCAGAGAAGTCATATAAGAGAACCATAAAGTATATATTGGATTTGTAGAACAGGAAGTCATTGGGGACCTTAAGGAATTGCAGTATGCTGAACCACCAAGTGAATTCAGCTCTTTAGTTGAGGTGAATTTGTAAAGGGCTGTTGGGAGTACCAGAACTGATATGGCCTTCAGTCATGTAAGTTGTCCTTGCTCCATTTGTATGGTGATAATACAGCATGGTGTTGCCATAAAGAGCAAGTGATGAAATACAAGAAAAAGTACTTTAGAAACTAAAGTTTGTAGAATTATGATTATCTTTAGGTAAAATGTATATTTAATTTAAACTTAAGGGAATGGGAGGGAAGATTTCAGGTGAAGACAATAGACATAAAGACCTGCCTTGGTAGAATATCAGAGCTTGTAGAGGACCACTGGAGCTGTGTGAACAGTGGAGGTGTGAGCCACGGAAAAGGAAGGGCTGGGCTGAGTAAGGAAGAGAGAAAATACTGGTGTTTTACAGATCGCTAATTAAATACTTCTTCCTGGGAGATCTAGAATACACTAAATAGTTTGGAGCCTTATTTTGTACAGTAAACCCTAAATTTTGTGGACCTCGATTTAACAGACTTCAAATTTTATGGACAAAATTTCCAGTCCATATGTCACTTGTGAAAATTAACATCCTATTAATTTAAAAATGTTTTTAACCAAGATTTGCTTATAATTAAATTAACAGGTTATTTTTTGTCGTTAATTCACTGTTATTTTTAACAGATTTTAGCGAATAGGTCGATGTTGTTAAAAACACAGAGTGATTTCACTGACATAAATAAATATCACACATCTACAACTATAGTCTACATATTTAAATCCAAGAGTCATTGCTCTTAAACAATGTTCAGCAAATGAGTAGCAGGTGATCACACCGAATCGCGCATGATGATTGGTTTTGTTGTCTCCTGGTGTGACTTTCTGCAGAAGTTTTAACTCTGCCAGGGGATGTTGCCTTCTACACTAAGCCACACCCCAGCCATGTGCATTTGTTTACTTGTAGTGGCTGGCAAATATGCATTTACTAGTCATATTCAGTATAAATTTAAAATTACAGTAATACATATAGAAAACTTTTCTGTGAAATTAAACTTTTCATACATAGTTGATTTTAATTACCCAAAGGTATTTACATAAGTGAAAACAAAAATAACTAATTTGTCAATTTTTCAACATATGCATCAGGAAAACCTACTTTATAATATAACAGACTTATAGCTTTAACGAACATCCCCTCACCAAATTAAGGTTCTACTGTACAACAGATCATTGTTTCCTTAGATGTGTTCAAACTGAGTAGGTACAGTTTAGCCTTCTTGAAAAAAAAAATGATCTTGTGTATTTCTTACAGATGATTTCTTTGAAATGGTTAGTTTTGCAAGTAACATTCATTTCATCTAGTTTTCTTCTCCTTCTCTCTCTTCTCTTACACTTTGTCCCTTTGATATTTTTCTTCTTTTTTTTTCTAAAAGTTCTTTGAACTTTTTTTCATCTTGTTTTTATTATCTAAAACCCTCAGCTTTTGTAGCTTTTGAGAGCAGGTCTCAAATACAGAGAGAGGAAGAGGGAGAGGGAGAGAGACCGAGAAACAGACAGAAGGAATGACTGTTTTCACATTTCCTGTTCCATGTTCCTCCATTCAAAGCATAGCTTGGATGAATTTTGCTTCTTTCTTAATGTTAATTTTATACAGATGCACTGGACAAAATTGTTTACCCAACTGTGACACATTAGATTTGGTTCCTTTTTAGTAGTGTTGGGCTGAAAAGTGGCATATGGGCTTGTTCTTTGGCTTTAAGAGAAGGAAGTCTCAGCTAAAAACATTTACTGTATCTGATCCTTATATGCTCACTCATATTAAACAGCAGCTTCAACATAAATTAGTCAAATGGGGGAGAAGAGACAACTCTTTATTACAGAAGAATTTCAAATAATAAATGTAGATAACTCCCCCTTTTAGATGGTGGAGCTTAATTCCCATCTTTCATGCTCGATAGTGGGCTGGATTCACTTATTGCACTCATAGAATAGAGTATGGAAAGGGAGAAATATTCACTTTACAGTGGAGAAACCTGGCAAACTACTTTAACCAAGTGGTTAAAGTTAACATCACTAGTGTCACAGGGCCTGTGAAAAAGATTTAGTGAGGGAACGTTTATTCTTCCTGTATCTGGTGCTCCCAGGGATGTGTAAGCTGTCACACACTACTACACTCAGCTTTTAATGATTTGTTAAAAATTGTAGGTGTTTTCTTTTTGTATGCTTTTTATGAAGACCAACCCTTCTGGGTTCTGTGTCCGGTCTCTGGGTTCTGTGTCTGGTCTCTCTTTAGTGAGGCTTATCACCCTTTGGAATTCAGTGTCTTATGACCTAAACTCTGCAGGGCCCCAAAAGTTACATTCTACGATTATCTGACACTTTCTCATTGTGTAATAGCAGCATTCTCTAGAGACTTTCTGCATTCTAAGCAGGTTAGACCTCCCTTCTACTCATGATACATCTTTTATACATGAGTTAAATAGTTCTAAGAAGAAATACTTCACATATAGAACTGCCTTTTCTAATTTTGAATCTAGTAGTAGTAGTTTTTGAAATACTTAAAAAACAATAGTAGCAATGCTGAAAGGATTGGGTAGGAGCATATTCTTTAATAGGCGTTTTGAATACCTACAGAGATGTTACAAGGTGTGCTATGTAATGAGGTAGTTATGCAAGGTGCCTTGATTCTGTGATATTAGAAGAATGAATCTCCTATTGTGCTCTGCATTTCGTTATGGAATCCACTTAATAATTAGTGTTCTGCCCTTTGATTAAATCAGGTAAGAGCATTCACTGGCCACTAATTTTTGCCTGGATCTTTCCATTCTAAATTTAGGATGAATACAGAGTATGCCACTCAAAATCTGAGTATTATGGTATAACTTAAATGCTGTAACAATTCCACATAATTCTATAGCAACTCACAATAATTGTATTAAAGAAAAAATAATTTCTTTCCAGGGTTAGAACCTATACTTTACTATAGTTATTTATTTTTGCTGCCTAATAATGTCTTTATGTTTATCATTCAGTATATT